GGGGGGGGGGGGGGGGCCGGTCTCAAAAACAATTTTTTTTCGGCCCTTGGGGCCTCAGTTTGGTCTCAAAAAAAGGGGGAGCCTGGGTCCGCGGGCCCATCCCCTGGATATCGTCGAGGCTCCCCTACTATCACTACGTGTAGGTCATTAAGAATATGTTTTTGGAGCCTAATCGGTATATTTTTCACATCTTTTAGGTATACTACAAAGTATACGAAACCTAGTGACCACATGGCGTATGCTATTATTTTAAATGAGTTCCCGACTACGTCTAGCATTGTGCTGGGAGAACCTATCACCACAAAAAACACTGTCGTGACGATGCTAGGAGTGGAAAAAGATCTGAAATGGAGCCCATATTCAGAGAAAGGAGGCATTGAAATCTTCATTCCGCCGCACTTCCAGCTGCCGTGTTCCTATGCTTGGGTTTTTAAACTGGAAAATGTCGTTTAACTCTTACTGTTATTAATACTTTTGAGCCGGTGGATGAAATCATATGCTCAGACCATTTTCAAATAAAAGGTTGTAAGCAGCACGTTACTGTGCCACTGTATACTAATATGCGACTTCTACGAGGTACTGATTAACTTGCAACTGACTTTGGATTTTGCCGTGATGGAAATTCTCTAGCTGGGAACTATTCAACAATATACGTTATTATAACTCGCGTAATGAAGTTCGCATTATTATACATTGTTTTTCAATTTGACGGACCGGTTTCTGTGGCGATGATTAGAAAAGTAATCGGTACGTCACCTACAAAGTTTGTTGTCAAAACGTTTTGATAACTATATAAATAGTTAGCCGGCTGCGCTAGCAGAGTTACGGCGTTATCTACGGGCCCGTACTCTTAGACTATGTAAATAACGAAGCTTAACGAGAATTAAGAAAAATAAAGGTTATTTTTGCTATTCATCGTTTTGGTGTTAGATTTTAGATTTGTTCCGCACGTTCTTATCATGAATAGAACTGTAATATTTGCTTGCAAGTAAAAATATAAAAAATCAACAAAGACACATGCACTCATTAATTTTTGTAATCAGTGCCCTCTCGCACTCGTCCGAGGTCCCCTCTCCTTTCCCCCTTTCTCTAAGGTGTGCTTCGCCTTTTTTGTCGCATTCCTCTTCCTTTTCCCGTTTTGGTCGAACGGTTTACTTTTCCTCAAAGTAAATTTATTGTTTTGTATGGAGCAGCATATAAATTTATGGGGGAATTGTCTGAAAGAGTAACTACGTAACTACAGCTATCTAAAATATTATTTGCTGTGGAGAGTACCAATAGTTGTTTCACAATAGGCCACTTGCACGATGACGTAATTTTACTTCTACGACCAGAATCCTTTAGGGTTTTGCTTTCTTGTGTAAATTAGGGCCTTTGTTATTTAATCCTCGCCGGGATTACAAATTTAAATATGAAAGAAAAAACGTAAAGGATTCTGGTCGTAGTAGTAAAGTGACGCCATCGTGCAAATGGCCTATTGTCTTGAGCCAGGGACAAACCGATTCGTTACCCTTACATGGGCACGTGACAGTCTTCCTCTCGGCTGTACGGTGTCGTTGTGACAAATTGGGCACCACATCTCAGTACGCTATTCAAGCCATGCTGTTTACTGCTACTGTCAAACCCCGTTAATAGGGCCACTCAAGGGACCATAGAAAGTGTCCGTAATTAACGGGGTAACAGTGGATTTTGTTATTTAAGTACAATACGGACTAAGTTAGAAAAAAATTCAAGAGAAATAAAGGGGAACATTAGCCATGTTAGCATCGTCAAATTAGACATCTTTGACCTTGATAAAGCAGAAAATTCCGCACACTACCTAAATCCACGGAAACACTCAAAATTCGCTCATCTAATATATGTTACTCAATCAAAACCGTTCTCTGTATAACTCGTTTGATGCCATAATAGCCCGAAATTGGCGTCTACAAATCATCCTATCCAGTGTACTGTAGCGCTGGGAACGTCGACATGCTGTCAACTGAAGAATTTTTTACCTTCAAAAAGAAAAGGTTTAATAGAGCCCGCAGTTGATAATGAAGTGTCCGCATTAGCGAGGTTGATCATGACTTTCTTTGAATCTGTTGACTGGGCAGAACAAGTCTCTCCGTGACGTGATAAAACATGGCGTAAAACTGTACTTTTGTTACTGCCAAAGGATTCTGCCCTCCAGCTTTGCGATTGTCTTTGTGGTCATGAACAATACTCGCTTTATCGTACTCCATTTAAAAATTTAAAGTAAAAGAATGTTATTGCTTTATTTCTTTTCTTGAACCCACTACCAATAATAATACCAATAGACCTTTTTAGATTTTTAGCTTGTATATTCAGACCAAGTGATGTTCTCCCGTGAATTTGCCTTTTGTCTTTTTATTTTAAAATTATTCATATATGCGCGTGCAGAAGACTTACGAGGTCATCTATGAGTTTCATTCGGAGCCAGTTTTTTTCTGCGTCTCCGACTTACCCAGACTTCACCGCGGCTTCCAGCGTAATGGGCACCAGTCTACCTCTTTCGAGCGTTTGGGTAGCCAGCGACGAATAACCGTGAATGGTGAGCAAGGGAGGGAGATTCGATCAACTTCCGATTTATTCGTTTTATTATTCGAAAGGAAAACACACCTTTCTGGAGAGAATTTGCAATTAAGAATACCTAAGCATTTATGCGATTGATTGAAGTTGAAGAAAAAGCCAGAGTTCTTGAAGAACAAGCAAGAATTCAAATAATCGGAGAGCGATGCACGTGTAGAAGAGGTTCTGGAGTGAAAACACGACGTAAGTTTTAATAGTCTTGGTACTGACTACTGTATTTTGTTATACTATAACTGTAAGCTAAAATGGGCTTGCTTTCTGGTTTTTATTTTTTATTTCTACTTAAGTTATACACGATTACCAAGTCCTTTCAACCCTTTCAAACGTTGCTACTTTGCCCCTGCTCCCTGTCCGCCATATTGGATTTTTAACGCGCGCCAGCGCAATACCCGCTTGAGTACAAGAAAAAAAGAGTTTATTTCTAAGCTGAACTTTAAAAAAGATTGTATGAACAAAGCTAAAATGAAAATTAGACAAGACTGAATGCATTGAGCAATGCAAGGCAATAAGCCATGCTTGTGGATTATGCTAGGTACAAATATTTCACGTTGTAAGACGTGCAATGCAACGTCCCGAACTTAAGGAAAATACTGTTAACTGACTTGTTAACAGCGTTCTTAAGACAAACTTGCCATCTTTATCCTCCGCGCCAAGAAAAAACAAGAACCTCATAAATGGAGGTACATTGGTCTGCTGGCTTGGGTGACATGTCATGTCGCGGAAGCAAATTATTTGCTTCCGTGACATGACGTGACAGGAAAGCAGAGCTGTCGGTCCAGACTGATTCTATTTGCCGATTACTTTTTTGGTCCTCCAACTTTTGTGTATAGATTGTTTTTACTGTTACGCAACAAAAAAATAAATTGGAAACCGTCCAGTGGAAGAAGCTAAGAAATGAAATGTTCTAAAAGACTAATCTATAAACAATTTGTCCAAGTTTCAGGCCTTTGCGGCCCACAGTTTCTGAGTTATTTGCCGAAACGTTTCATGCACCTTTGTAGAGCTTTGTATGGAGACGCCATATTGGTGTACCGTTTTGCTGCACCAATATGGCCACCAGAAATCAACAAAAACATCTGGAGTTCACTTTTTCTATAAAAGCTCTTTCTTTTCACTCAAAAACTAGCATACATGTACATAAATATATCGTCTAATACTTGAAATGGTTTTTACTGCTGAAAGTCGAGAGGAGAGACTTTTTTTCAATGAGACAGGATTCCTGTTTCTCAAATGGTGTCACGCACTATGAAAACTCGGAAGTTCAATTTGTTGTATGAAACATGCTACTGGAATGGAAACTTGTACAAAGATTTACTTTTTGATTATCTTCAACTTAGTGGAAATGAGAATTTGTAAAACCTTGCTATTTTGACTTAACAATATTTGATGATGTCACTGTGAAAACCATCTATTAAAAATTTAACCTCTTCTTCCCTGTATTTTTCCTGATCTTGGTTAAAGTAGATAATTTTATTTAAGTTGGAATGCTGGAATTTCTTCACAACCATGACATAAAGATCCATAAATGTGAAATGACCCCAGAAAAATATTTGCATGAATGTATGCTTCATGCTTGATTGGCTTTTTGCTAGAACTCGAGTTCAGTCATGTCAGAAGAGAAAAAGGTAAAAAAATAGATAAATAACAACACTACTTGTCCTCGAATCCTTTCTGTTTGTCCTCTTCCAAAGGACTTGAAGGAAGAAATTGTTTGTTAAGACCCTAGAGCTGAAGCTGAAGTTTGTATTTGTGCTTGCATTATTTTTTTGGTTTATTCACGCTGTACCGTACAAGGATCCGGATTCAATTCACTCCGTTTCTTAGCCTTAACCATTAAACTTAAGAGAAATTTACTGTTTGGTTCCTATTTAATTTTTTTTGTATTTTGTTTATTATCATAGAGCTCGATTGCGATCCTTTTATGCATGTAGTAAGATACGTGCTGTTGTTTTCATCAACACATAAAACTTTCTTTCCATGCAGCATCTGAGTTGTTTTTTTCCATACAGCAGCTCACAGTGCAATGTTTTTTCAATTGCAATTTTAGTTTGCTGGTTCATAAAATTTGCTCATTTCATTACAAGTCTTACATTTCTCTTTGAGTTCACGGACCGGTGCGTCCCAAAAATGCTCACAATCATCTTTCAGTGTGGACCTACTGTATGGATGTGTATGCTGAGTGAGCATTGCCATGGTCCAGTTTCCAAACATGAATTTCCCTCTTCAACTTGATTCAAAGGCGACCAATCGTCCCTTTGTAATATAAAGTGATGGAACTGAAATGTGTTTCAATTGGTAGCGACAGAAAGTACTAAGTGGACAGGAGGCAAGTGAAAGGAGCTTTTTACAAGAGGCTTTATACTATGTAATCAAATTTTCCTGTTTTATTAGGTGATAAGATAGGACTAATAACTTTAGACAAGAATATTGTTTTTGTTCCCTGCCACGATTTTTATCTGAAATTACCCACCTCTTTCACTCAAAAATCAGAAGATTAGCAACAACACAGGGGAGGGGGGATGGGAAACCTGATCCGTCCGCCATTCAGTCTTTTTCCTGCACAGACGAGGCAATCTCCAATTTCTGATTGGGCTTTGCCCGTAAGGCAGTCCCATAAAAGGGACTGGGGCCATTTTAGCTATTTTGGGTCATTATGCAATGACAAATCCAGTATGCTAGAAATTGAAGAGTAGCAGAGACTTCTCTTAGTGTTCAAATTTCCTGGTGAAAGTATACCACAGGAACCCAAGTTCGGTATTTTAATAATAATAACTAGGGGTTCCATATTGGAAGTGAATTGCTGCCCTTGGGCTAGCCTGAATTTCATCCGATTACTTCGAGTCGCTATTAATCCCTCGGTAATGTCTGAATTGACCGGCCGTTAATGCCATCCAGTGACGTCACTACTCCTTGACCTTTGCTTTAATTCATGCAAAAAGTAAAACACGATTTTCAAGTAGCAAACCGAGAAATATAGTTTGGAAATGTCTCCATGATCCAGAACTACTTTATTTTTTTCGATCGTAATTCATGTTTAACGTTCAAACTATCAACTGCATGCAGTGCAACTCTGAAGCGGTTGTACTAAATTCTATAATCAAACTCGGTCACAATCACGCAATGAAATAAACACACATACGGAACACTTAGTTCAAAAACACAATGATTTGCTTTAATTGAAAAGAAGCTATTTGGTCCATAACGAAGAAAAAAACAAAGAGACGAAAAAGAAAAGCTAACAGAATCATTACACTTGATGGTAAAAACAGCAACAAGGTCGAATTATAACATTGATCTCAGAAAACTTTGTGTAAACAAAATAACCGGCCGCCGAAACCACAAAGCGGCTCTAAATGAAAAACCTACCGACTCTCTGCATTGATTCTTCATTCGCAGTTCAATTTAGCATTTCAGGTTCGAAGACAAGGTCAATTTTGCTGTTTAAGACAAAGATTAAGCTTATTGAAATGTTTGAATTCAACGAAAGAATGCCAGGGATCCAATGCACTGAATATAAGCGACAATCCCGCTAAAATTTTTCATAATTATACATAATTATGCGAATGTTTAGACAATCAACCAATCAAAATCACTACCCGGTTTTCGGGTAGTGAGTGACGTCACTGGACGGCATTAACGGATGGTAGATTCAGACGTTGTTGAGAGGAGAAAACGACTCGAAGCAATCGGATGAATTTCAGGCTACCCTAGGGCTCGGAATTAAAAAAATCCTCAGGTTGCCAGATGCAATTTTCTAGTCACCAGTTTGTATAATGTAAGGGACCTGTCATTATTTATGTACGGCAGGAGGAGGGGGCGGGTGGGGGGCAGGGAAAAATATGTTGGAAAGAATATGTTTGTAAGGCCCCCCCTGTAGACCATGTAAATAGCAACTGACCCTCCTTCTTTATTCAATATTTACGTGATGACCCCCCACCTCATTTCTCTTCTTATATGCTCAGTACAAAGTAATTATTATAATGCATGTAACATCCTATTAACTCATAAAAGTGTTGTTGTGTTAAAAAGAAGAAAACTGATTGATTTTTACAAATCCTGCCTTCATGGTGAACACAAATGCAATAACTATGCAAAATATAATCCTTCCTACAGTTGTAGTTTCTTGTTGATCTACCATGTTTTTCTTGGGCTGTTGAAGTGACAAGCATTTTGTTAAATTCAGTCAAACCAAATATTAAAGCAGATAGGTCTGAATTCTTAATTACCTAAAATTTGAAGTAAGATTTGAAGTTTAGAGTGCAAAAAAATTTCTGTCAAATACAAATGATTAAGTTGTACAAAATAGTAGTGCTTAAACAAAAAGNTAAAATTTTTCATAATTATACATAATTATGCGAATGTTTAGACAATCAACCAATCAAAATCACTACCCGGTTTTCGGGTAGTGAGTGACGTCACTGGACGGCATTAACGGATGGTAGATTCAGACGTTGTTGAGAGGAGAAAACGACTCGAAGCAATCGGATGAATTTCAGGCTACCCTAGGGCTCGGAATTAAAAAAATCCTCAGGTTGCCAGATGCAATTTTCTAGTCACCAGTTTGTATAATGTAAGGGACCTGTCATTATTTATGTACGGCAGGAGGAGGGGGCGGGTGGGGGGCAGGGAAAAATATGTTGGAAAGAATATGTTTGTAAGGCCCCCCCTGTAGACCATGTAAATAGCAACTGACCCTCCTTCTTTATTCAATATTTACGTGATGACCCCCCACCTCATTTCTCTTCTTATATGCTCAGTACAAAGTAATTATTATAATGCATGTAACATCCTATTAACTCATAAAAGTGTTGTTGTGTTAAAAAGAAGAAAACTGATTGATTTTTACAAATCCTGCCTTCATGGTGAACACAAATGCAATAACTATGCAAAATATAATCCTTCCTACAGTTGTAGTTTCTTGTTGATCTACCATGTTTTTCTTGGGCTGTTGAAGTGACAAGCATTTTGTTAAATTCAGTCAAACCAAATATTAAAGCAGATAGGTCTGAATTCTTAATTACCTAAAATTTGAAGTAAGATTTGAAGTTTAGAGTGCAAAAAAATTTCTGTCAAATACAAATGATTAAGTTGTACAAAATAGTAGTGCTTAAACAAAAAGCAATAGGATTAGCATAAAATTGTACCATTTACCATTACTATTTCGCATACATTGTTTGTACTCTATCAACTATATAACTGCTTTACCCATCTTGGCCAGTGGACCCCTCTTAAAATATACAGGTACCTGGTGATCAAACTGCTGACCCCCTTAAACTTCTTTGTAAAAAAGTTTAGGCCCCCCCTAGCTAATATGAAATAGCCTTGACCCACCCTTCTTTTTTTCCCTCCCCCCTTCTACATACATGTAAATAATTACCTGTCCAATTTGTTGGCGTGTTAGTCACGGTGAAGCTTTACCATCGATTCTTGAAATGGCTCAAGAATTTTGGCCATGATACAAATGTACTTACAGTTTTTAGGCCATCGCACGCTACAAGAATCGCGTCCTGTGCTACAGGAATCGCGTGGTGCGTGACGAGAATTGCATAGCGCGCGACATGATTCGTGTCTTGCAAGAGGGTGGTAAGTTACTTTTGAGCAGTAGAGTACTGCAAAATTCGCTATAAACCTTGTCAAAAGACATGTCGATACAACATATTGAAACTTATCTTGACTATTGGGACTGTTTAATTGTGGTAAATTTATCTTGTAAGTTCTCCCTCATCACTTCAATGAGCGAAAAACATCCCAAAACTACCAGGCTTAAATTATGTTGCAAAAAACTGGGCACTAGTCATGATGTTAAAAGCTTTGTCATTGGCTCATTATAAAATAGCAAATGATTATCTCTTAAAAAACATTTAACATGCTTAGTCAAATCAGCTCAAAATTGACTGATTTCTAACGAAATTTGCCCATGAAATCAGCAGTTTTTTTCGGATTGTTGTATTGGCAAAGTTAGCCACTGAAAATTTCCGTGAATCTGTCTCTAAAAATCCTGCGAAATTTGACTTTTTTTCTGCGACCTCTCAGAAGCCCTGTAGTGTAATGGGGTGATCCATCAGATTTGATTGTTTGAAAGTATTGCAGACAGAAGTCAGCATAAATTTGGAGGTAAATAGGCTTTGTTTATGCGATTTGGCACATTTTTTGTGATGAAAGCAAAGCAAGAGGTCAGTGTCGTCGAGGACATAAAGGTTAACTCTCCACTAGGGTTTGCTTGATGGTCATTCCTTCTAATGAAAATAACCTTCAAAAATTAGGATTCAGTATGGTTAAATGACAAAGTGAAAAGTTTTGTAAAGAGCAGCTGTTTAACAATTTCCATTTATTACTTCATGCAATTCCATTTTTTGAAGACCAAAGAGTGTCTTCTTAAAACTACACTGTAACTGTTTATTTAAGTTTTATTTCATTAGCATTTCATTTACTTTCTTTTTTGTTGTTCAATAAAATATAATTTTCTTCTCAGGTCATTAATAGAAAAGAAGGGAAATAAAGAAAGTAGGATTTTTTGTGTGCTTTTCTGCAGGATTTTGCAGAAAAGTTAACTTGACTTAGACCACTGATGAAATTAAATAGGTTATTTTGAGTAGCAGCCAGCATTTTGTCTGTATGCTGTAAGCTAACTATCTGCTATTATTTACAGAGAAAAAATGTCATCACTGGAAATTTCTGTTTTTTTTGGTATCACTGAGGAACAAGGAAATCTGAGAAAAACAATGTTGGTATAAACCCAGACCTTGAGTGTGCATTCGTCCAAGTTGACAGACAGTGATCACAACGCAGGTTCAAATATATTTTTTAATTTGTTGAAATGAACCAACCATATTTGTTTTGTCTGTGTGTTTTATGCAATTTAAAGAATGAGTTTTTTATTGACTTGATTTTATCTTCTTATTCTCAGGGCTGTTTAAGGGACCCAGTCACTGGACGTTAGGTGTAAGTTCTTGTAACACATATCAGAAACATTGCGTACTGTGCCAAATTCATTATGTACTAAAAGCTGTTACCATTGAGGGAAAAGTTTCCCCTGTCTATGGGGCATCGGAATCCGATCTTACGGTTATACAAAATTTTTTAGACCGATGCCATAAACGCCGTTTTATTTCATTTCCAGTTTTTATCAAGAATCTTTTAAATAAACAAGACCAAAACATTTTAAAGAAATTAATATCAACGGATTGCCACCCACTAAAAGATATCATTCCTGTCCAGAAGACGTATGTACATAATCTTAGGAAAAAAGGCTGCATACGCCCAAAAATTAATACAGAGCGTTTTATGAACACCTTTGTAAATAGGTTGATTTTTAAGCTCCATTTATTGTAATGATACACTTTTTTAATATATACATATAACGTAGATATTTTTATCATAGTTTTTATCTTCTCTTATTGTAACATAAGATATGTAGTTTTATCTTCTGGTGAAATAAAGACTCATTATTATTATTATTATTTATTGTCTTAACCAATCAGAGCAGCACATTTGTGGAGCCTTGAGAGGTGAGTAAACTTTACTCAAACAAGTAATGTTACTCATAATTTTACATGTATGTTGCAAGTTCTGAGGCAGCGTCACAGAGAATTCTAGCTGGAATCAAAACTGCATGGTCCACTAGCTTTAGTGACCTTAATTTTCAGGACTTTCTTCTTACTGCCCTCTGTTGAGAATGTTATACCAGGCATACACATAAGGCAAGGGGGTGGGGGGGGGAGGGGGAGCTTTTGTGGTAAATTCCTGAGGTCTTCTTCCATGAACATGCCATCATATTGCTCGTGTAAGGCCTCAACGTTGGAGCTGTCTGAAGAGCGTACATATGTGGTTGTTAGATACTAATGCTGAGATTCCTTGGGATTCGGTTCGAAGCAGCTTTAAGTACAACCAGGCACGTTTGATTCCATTACACACAGCATTGTCAGGCCCAGTCTCCAGAGACTCTGGAGTTGAGCCACCCATGACTTTATTGACGTACTTACCATGTGCAATGTGCAGGCATTTGGTTGTTATATTGCAAAGTTGTTTGTATTTGGCTAAGTTGAATGGCTTTGCCGCCATGCCTAGCCTTCTTATACGTTTTATCACATTTGTTCATTAGATGTTTCAAAGAAGTGCTGACCCAGGGGAGGTGATGCTACCCCTTGTTGACATTTTCTGTGGTATGAAGTTGTCAGTGGCTTCCAAGATCACTTTGATGGATCTTGGACCAGTTTTCATCCATAGTGTTACTCTCTAGGTGGGTAGATAAATAGTTGAAAGCCAGGAGACTATTTAACAATTATTCCTCGAGCCTGTATGGTATTTTTGTCTCCATCATGTTCACCTTGGGTGTACTCAAGGTAATCTTTGGTGTCATTCTATGTCTTATTTACTTCACAGATTTTTCTTAGGGCTTGTATTTTCATTTGAAGTTCACTCAGCTAAAAATTTGTTTTTCTCAAATTTTAGTACTATCTTTGATAGCTGTTAACCTTAGTATGAGATATTCTGTTAGTGTCATTTTAATGTAGTTGCCATCTTGGGCTGCTTCAATGGAATTCGTGTCGGGGCTAGAGCTGCTTATCATCAGCCATTTTTTATCTAAATCTTTGTTTCCCATGCTCGTAACTGTTGTGGCAATGTTAGTAAAGCGAAAGAGGTGGAAAAAGGCAATATTCACTGTGTTGTGTTGATTTCTCAAAGCCAGGTTTGTGGAGCTTTCAGACATGCATCTAGCTGCAACTGGTCATGCCCATTCTCTCTCCCCCCCCCCTCCTTTATGAGTTTTATTCTCACTGTAACTGTTGGGGGAAATTGCTCAAAAAAGTTTTTTTATGACTGAATAATGCCAGCCTCTTCTTGTTGAGGAGGAATTTGCATGGTACTTTTAATTTGTTATATCGCAGAGCAGTACAGACAAAAATTTCTACCACTCAGCACACTCAGCTAAGCTGTGCCTTGGTTTGCAAACCACTTCTCAGTTTCAAAATTCTATATAAAACATTACAAAGATAGACCTTATTCTTTGGTTTTGCAAGTTTTGATGTCCAGTAAGCTAATATTCGTCAACACTACTTACCAAGTTTAAATTGATATGTGCTGACTCTATGGAGCTATATCTTCGTCAGTGTTCATCAAGTTCCTTTCAAACTGGCCCACTTCACTGATTTTAACCCTCTGGTGACTGCAAAATGTTTCTTTTTTCAGTGAGTGCAAGTTTGTCTGAATTGGTCAGAATATCAAGACCGAGGTATTAGTGGAAAGATGTATCTTTGCTGATGTTTTTCACCCTCTTGTTAGCTTAAACTGAAAGCTAAATGGCTCCAGAAAGGGAAATATGCATCGTTTCATATGGAACAAAAATGACTAAAGCTGTCGTTGAAGGGTTAAGGTGTTATTTCCAGGATATTTACTTACTGTTATTATTTTAAAATGAAACCAAGGAAGTGTCTATTGATAAATCATATCAACAACAATGTCAGTTTAGGTGTAGACTGAATAGTTGTTTATTTTTTCCCAGCATCATGAATCCATCAGAATAAGGAAGTTTGTGATTACAGACTGTACGTGGCTGCACACTGGTGGTGAAATGTCATAATAAAGGAAGCTGCATTCAAGCACCTGTTGAGGAGTTGTCTTGGCTTCATAGTAATTTTATGGCAAAGCAAAGGATATTTAATGTGCGGTATTGGCCAGAGTCAATTCTCTTTTCTCTGCAGGTATATTTGCAAAATAATGATTATTTAATAAACATTTCAGGTCGTCATTTCAAAGAAAAGGCTGTTACTTTGGCAATGATTATGTGGTTTACCTGTCCACGTTAATTTACTGAAATAAATTTTATGTCAGTCAAGTGGCAGCAAGAGTTGCATCATGAATGAAAGTGGTGTTATTGTTTCAGAGGATCTGACTTTAAAGTGTATGAAAGCTGCTTATTTAGTATGCTGCAGTTGGAATTCTCAAACCCTGTGCTTAGTTAGCAGCATTCATACCTCGTTTAAATTACAAGCTTGAAAAGGTCTTGCATTTTTGTTGTCATCTTAAAAAGCAAAGTCCTTGAAAAATACTGGATTTCTTTACTAGGTCTTGAAAAATCTTCAAAATTCAATCCCTTGTTACGCTACACTGTTTTCTGTGAAATTAGATTACCAGTATTCCGCAGAGGAAAATTTGGCTCTTCCTTGGTATAAGAACTTGTACAACCCACAGGTAGTCTAAATGTGAAAAAAATTTATGCATGAACAATATTTTATTTGATCTGTTTCTTTATTTCAAATTCTATTTCTGTACCTCAGATGCAATGTCAAATCATACCCAGTCACAATCAATTTCTATTGTTGCCACTCAACTGGAACAGAAGATTATTACATGTATTTTATGATGGATGCATCGTCAAACCAAATTAATAATCATGGTTAAAGTAATAAGAACTTGTTTAAGAAATCAAAAAATAATAATAATCTGGTTAAAGGAGAAGAGAATTGATTTTTTCCATCATAGTAGCACTTCAAATTAAAAGTAATTTAAAGATATAGTTGCCATTATAATTCCATCTTTTGGTTGATACTTAGTAGTGGCTATGACCTACCGGTAAGCCAGCTTGTAACTTAAGATATTTTGAGGAATATATTTTAGTAAAAGAGTGTATAGGAAACTTATCTTGACTATTGGGACTGTTTAATTGTGGTAAATTTATCTTGTAAGTTCTCCCTCATCACTTCAATGAGCGAAAAACATCCCAAAACTACCAGGCTTAAATTATGTTGCAAAAAACTGGGCACTAGTCATGATGTTAAAAGCTTTGTCATTGGCTCATTATAAAATAGCAAATGATTATCTCTTAAAAAACATTTAACATGCTTAGTCAAATCAGCTCAAAATTGACTGATTTCTAACGAAATTTGCCCATGAAATCAGCAGTTTTTTTCGGATTGTTGTATTGGCAAAGTTAGCCACTGAAAATTTCCGTGAATCTGTCTCTAAAAATCCTGCGAAATTTGACTTTTTTTCTGCGACCTCTCAGAAGCCCTGTAGTGTAATGGGGTGATCCATCAGATTTGATTGTTTGAAAGTATTGCAGACAGAAGTCAGCATAAATTTGGAGGTAAATAGGCTTTGTTTATGCGATTTGGCACATTTTTTGTGATGAAAGCAAAGCAAGAGGTCAGTGTCGTCGAGGACATAAAGGTTAACTCTCCACTAGGGTTTGCTTGATGGTCATTCCTTCTAATGAAAATAACCTTCAAAAATTAGGATTCAGTATGGTTAAATGACAAAGTGAAAAGTTTTGTAAAGAGCAGCTGTTTAACAATTTCCATTTATTACTTCATGCAATTCCATTTTTTGAAGACCAAAGAGTGTCTTCTTAAAACTACACTGTAACTGTTTATTTAAGTTTTATTTCATTAGCATTTCATTTACTTTCTTTTTTGTTGTTCAATAAAATATAATTTTCTTCTCAGGTCATTAATAGAAAAGAAGGGAAATAAAGAAAGTAGGATTTTTTGTGTGCTTTTCTGCAGGATTTTGCAGAAAAGTTAACTTGACTTAGACCACTGATGAAATTAAATAGGTTATTTTGAGTAGCAGCCAGCATTTTGTCTGTATGCTGTAAGCTAACTATCTGCTATTATTTACAGAGAAAAAATGTCATCACTGGAAATTTCTGTTTTTTTTGGTATCACTGAGGAACAAGGAAATCTGAGAAAAACAATGTTGGTATAAACCCAGACCTTGAGTGTGCATTCGTCCAAGTTGACAGACAGTGATCACAACGCAGGTTCAAATATATTTTTTAATTTGTTGAAATGAACCAACCATATTTGTTTTGTCTGTGTGTTTTATGCAATTTAAAGAATGAGTTTTTTATTGACTTGATTTTATCTTCTTATTCTCAGGGCTGTTTAAGGGACCCAGTCACTGGACGTTAGGTGTAAGTTCTTGTAACACATATCAGAAACATTGCGTACTGTGCCAAATTCATTATGTACTAAAAGCTGTTACCATTGAGGGAAAAGTTTCCCCTGTCTATGGGGCATCGGAATCCGATCTTACGGTTATACAAAATTTTTTAGACCGATGCCATAAACGCCGTTTTATTTCATTTCCAGTTTTTATCAAGAATCTTTTAAATAAACAAGACCAAAACATTTTAAAGAAATTAATATCAACGGATTGCCACCCACTAAAAGATATCATTCCTGTCCAGAAGACGTATGTACATAATCTTAGGAAAAAAGGCTGCATACGCCCAAAAATTAATACAGAGCGTTTTATGAACACCTTTGTAAATAGGTTGATTTTTAAGCTCCATTTATTGTAATGATACACTTTTTTAATATATACATATAACGTAGATATTTTTATCATAGTTTTTATCTTCTCTTATTGTAACATAAGATATGTAGTTTTATCTTCTGGTGAAATAAAGACTCATTATTATTATTATTATTTATTGTCTTAACCAATCAGAGCAGCACATTTGTGGAGCCTTGAGAGGTGAGTAAACTTTACTCAAACAAGTAATGTTACTCATAATTTTACATGTATGTTGCAAGTTCTGAGGCAGCGTCACAGAGAATTCTAGCTGGAATCAAAACTGCATGGTCCACTAGCTTTAGTGACCTTAATTTTCAGGACTTTCTTCTTACTGCCCTCTGTTGAGAATGTTATACCAGGCATACACATAAGGCAAGGGGGTGGGGGGGGGAGGGGGAGCTTTTGTGGTAAATTCCTGAGGTCTTCTTCCATGAACATGCCATCATATTGCTCGTGTAAGGCCTCAACGTTGGAGCTGTCTGAAGAGCGTACATATGTGGTTGTTAGATACTAATGCTGAGATTCCTTGGGATTCGGTTCGAAGCAGCTTTAAGTACAACCAGGCACGTTTGATTCCATTACACACAGCATTGTCAGGCCCAGTCTCCAGAGACTCTGGAGTTGAGCCACCCATGACTTTATTGACGTACTTACCATGTGCAATGTGCAGGCATTTGGTTGTTATATTGCAAAGTTGTTTGTATTTGGCTAAGTTGAATGGCTTTGCCGCCATGCCTAGCCTTCTTATACGTTTTATCACATTTGTTCATTAGATGTTTCAAAGAAGTGCTGACCCAGGGGAGGTGATGCTACCCCTTGTTGACATTTTCTGTGGTATGAAGTTGTCAGTGGCTTCCAAGATCACTTTGATGGATCTTGGACCAGTTTTCATCCATAGTGTTACTCTCTAGGTGGGTAGATAAATAGTTGAAAGCCAGGAGACTATTTAACAATTATTCCTCGAGCCTGTATGGTATTTTTGTCTCCATCATGTTCACCTTGGGTGTACTCAAGGTAATCTTTGGTGTCATTCTATGTCTTATTTACTTCACAGATTTTTCTTAGGGCTTGTATTTTCATTTGAAGTTCACTCAGCTAAAAATTTGTTTTTCTCAAATTTTAGTACTATCTTTGATAGCTGTTAACCTTAGTATGAGATATTCTGTTAGTGTCATTTTAATGTAGTTGCCATCTTGGGCTGCTTCAATGGAATTCGTGTCGGGGCTAGAGCTGCTTATCATCAGCCATTTTTTATCTAAATCTTTGTTTCCCATGCTCGTAACTGTTGTGGCAATGTTAGTAAAGCGAAAGAGGTGGAAAAAGGCAATATTCACTGTGTTGTGTTGATTTCTCAAAGCCAGGTTTGTGGAGCTTTCAGACATGCATCTAGCTGCAACTGGTCATGCCCATTCTCTCTCCCCCCCCCCTCCTTTATGAGTTTTATTCTCACTGTAACTGTTGGGGGAAATTGCTCAAAAAAGTTTTTTTATGACTGAATAATGCCAGCCTCTTCTTGTTGAGGAGGAATTTGCATGGTACTTTTAATTTGTTATATCGCAGAGCAGTACAGACAAAAATTTCTACCACTCAGCACACTCAGCTAAGCTGTGCCTTGGTTTGCAAACCACTTCTCAGTTTCAAAATTCTATATAAAACATTACAAAGATAGACCTTATTCTTTGGTTTTGCAAGTTTTGATGTCCAGTAAGCTAATATTCGTCAACACTACTTACCAAGTTTAAATTGATATGTGCTGACTCTATGGAGCTATATCTTCGTCAGTGTTCATCAAGTTCCTTTCAAACTGGCCCACTTCACTGATTTTAACCCTCTGGTGACTGCAAAATGTTTCTTTTTTCAGTGAGTGCAAGTTTGTCTGAATTGGTCAGAATATCAAGACCGAGGTATTAGTGGAAAGATGTATCTTTGCTGATGTTTTTCACCCTCTTGTTAGCTTAAACTGAAAGCTAAATGGCTCCAGAAAGGGAAATATGCATCGTTTCATATGGAACAAAAATGACTAAAGCTGTCGTTGAAGGGTTAAGGTGTTATTTCCAGGATATTTACTTACTGTTATTATTTTAAAATGAAACCAAGGAAGTGTCTATTGATAAATCATATCAACAACAATGTCAGTTTAGGTGTAGACTGAATAGTTGTTTATTTTTTCCCAGCATCATGAATCCATCAGAATAAGGAAGTTTGTGATTACAGACTGTACGTGGCTGCACACTGGTGGTGAAATGTCATAATAAAGGAAGCTGCATTCAAGCACCTGTTGAGGAGTTGTCTTGGCTTCATAGTAATTTTATGGCAAAGCAAAGGATATTTAATGTGCGGTATTGGCCAGAGTCAATTCTCTTTTCTCTGCAGGTATATTTGCAAAATAATGATTATTTAATAAACATTTCAGGTCGTCATTTCAAAGAAAAGGCTGTTACTTTGGCAATGATTATGTGGTTTACCTGTCCACGTTAATTTACTGAAATAAATTTTATGTCAGTCAAGTGGCAGCAAGAGTTGCATCATGAATGAAAGTGGTGTTATTGTTTCAGAGGATCTGACTTTAAAGTGTATGAAAGCTGCTTATTTAGTATGCTGCAGTTGGAATTCTCAAACCCTGTGCTTAGTTAGCAGCATTCATACCTCGTTTAAATTACAAGCTTGAAAAGGTCTTGCATTTTTGTTGTCATCTTAAAAAGCAAAGTCCTTGAAAAATACTGGATTTCTTTACTAGGTCTTGAAAAATCTTCAAAATTCAATCCCTTGTTACGCTACACTGTTTTCTGTGAAATTAGATTACCAGTATTCCGCAGAGGAAAATTTGGCTCTTCCTTGGTATAAGAACTTGTACAACCCACAGGTAGTCTAAATGTGAAAAAAATTTATGCATGAACAATATTTTATTTGATCTGTTTCTTTATTTCAAATTCTATTTCTGTACCTCAGATGCAATGTCAAATCATACCCAGTCACAATCAATTTCTATTGTTGCCACTCAACTGGAACAGAAGATTATTACATGTATTTTATGATGGATGCATCGTCAAACCAAATTAATAATCATGGTTAAAGTAATAAGAACTTGTTTAAGAAATCAAAAAATAATAATAATCTGGTTAAAGGAGAAGAGAATTGATTTTTTCCATCATAGTAGCACTTCAAATTAAAAGTAATTTAAAGATATAGTTGCCATTATAATTCCATCTTTTGGTTGATACTTAGTAGTGGCTATGACCTACCGGTAAGCCAGCTTGTAACTTAAGATATTTTGAGGAATATATTTTAGTAAAAGAGTGTATAGGGCAAACAGGCTACTCTATTACATGCATGATAATGATGCAAAAATGCCCTTGAACTAGCTAATAAAAGAAGAGCTGGGCAAGTAAAGAGGAAAACCTAAAGAGTAGTAAAAATAGTGGAAAATTATATAATGGGTTGATTTTCAGTTGAATTATTGAATTTTGCAGCTGCACAGCACAAGTGACCAATTGTCTGAATTTACTCTTCTTTTAATTGTAGTGGGTAAACAAAATCTTTCAGCCATTTGTGCTATATGACTGACCATATGACAATGATAGTATTTATACTTTCTCAGTTTGTCTGCCATTTGCCTTATTTTCTTATTTTTCCAGTGCCAGTGCCAGTTTTATGGTAATGAGGCCCTCTAGAATTAAATTTCCAGTTTTGCACCCTGGGGTGAGGGGGAGATACTTATGTCGCCAACCTAAATTTCAAAACCCATTTTTTATTGAATACTCTAGGCTGGCCAGTCATATGGTACAGTGGGTCTTTTGAAGGTGGTCAATTGTGTGATACAAAATCACCATGCTGCGAGAAAAGAATGCCTTGAAACAAGACAAATGTGGGAATTTACCTTAGCTAAGATAATTTGGTTGTCAGTCTATCCGAGAAGTTTTGGTTGTCACATGATCACCCGTCCCTCCCTCCCTCTGTCCACACCACGGGAAACCAAGATGAAATGTCACTTTGTAGCTAGTGTGGGAGCTTGCAACATGATATTGCACATCCATGTAATGTTGTGGGCAGTTGACAGCTGTCAAAATGGTATCTGCTGACCAGTACCACATGGCTCAACTCTAAGTGGATTTCTTTGCAAAGGTTACAAGTTTATTGTTTCAAGTAAATTATAAATTTAATGATGGGAACTTTGTCTTAAGCCTTGGCTAAATCTATATATATTACATACAATTTTATTACCTACAAGCTGCCTCGGGTGTTGAGGCAAAAAAATACGATCATTTGGAAATATATTCCTTTTCTTTAAAAGGATCAAGGGTATTTCTTGCTTTCCTGCATAACAGTTTTTAACCACTCAAGTGGTATGAAACTATTATACTTGCATGCAAGAAATGCACTGGAACAAGTCAAACAAAAAGCTTGCCCCAATAGGCAGTGTGGGAAAGCAGGAAATACCATCGATCCTTTAAAAGAAGGGGCACGTAAGGCAGCGAGCTTGTAGCTATATTTTTTGTATACCCACTACCTCATAAATAAATAATAAATAAATAATAATTTGGAGGTAGCACATCCACAAAGTGGTTCTTCATCTACCTGATTCCTGGTCGATTTGGAATTTGGGAATGTTGGTTTTTGAGGAGAGGGGAAAACCGGAGTACCCAGGAAAAACCTCTTGGAGCAAAGGAGAGAACCAACAACAAACTCAACCCATTCCCACGTGTTACTTTTAGATAATGGGAAATGAGCCTGGCATCAGCCATACTCATCCACATGTCTAATTAGAAACCCGAAAAGTGAGATTTAGCTCAAATTGTTCATAATCTCACAGGTCTAGTGACTGTTTAGTTGTTCTTTTGCATTGCTTTCTCTCAATCAGGTTTTCTGTGTATTGTCATTGAACATTTGCAGAGGGCAGCTCATTTAATAAAATTACACTTCCTTCGGCAGAACCTAAATCCATAGGAATACAGAAGCAAGTTTTCCTTGGAAGTCTTGCTCGTGTAAATAAAAGAACTTGGTGGTTTTTCTTTGAAAAAAAAATTGTCAACATTCATTTACACCACCAAGGAAAAGTTGTTATGGGAAACTTGTTCCAGTGAAAGAAGTTGAGAGTATCCTCTTCTCAAAGTTATTACTTATTTGCAGCTCATTAGTAATTTCTTCATGTAAATGGGAAAATTTGTCAAGTGTAGTCGCTGCTTGAAGGAAGTAAGCCTAGCCCAGACGCTATTCAAGGTCATGTGTAAATATGCATATCAATGAGTAACTCACAACCCTGCCAAGTTAAACAACCTCCTCCCTTGCAAATGGGAATTTTTAGTCAGTGACATTTGAGATAGATATTAATATCGCATAAAAAGACAGCAATTTCTGTTATACTTTATTTTATAATTGATATGCTCCTTATGTTTTAAACAACCCATTGTAGATCACGTGATATTCTCTGTGGGTTAAAACCTTTAGAGAACTCTTTTCCAATTCACAATTTTTTTGTAGAACTTAAATTTTGCATAAGTATTGTCTTTGATTTCTCTTGGGACCACTGTAATACCCGGGAGAAATTGCAAACGATGGTTATGCAAAGTTTGGGGTATATTAAGGTGCATTATCATCTAAGTGGAAGTTTTTTTTAATTTTTATTTTATTTTATTAGCTTTGCCAGACAATAAGATTGACACTACAAAAAAAGGGTACATATATTCACAGGGGTACAAGTTTTTTTTTCTTTTTTTTCACAGCTTTATTGGGTGCTCCTCTAGTGAATACAATATAAATTTGTAATACAACACACACACACACACACACACACACACACAAAAAGAGAAGCCAGTAGGTGCAACGGGACTAACGTCACATGCGAGGCACCGCCCCTAAAAGTGGGGACACCGCAACAGTTAGCGCCAATTACTGGGGGCCCAAAGTGAGACTTTGTTTGGAAATCGGGCCCTATCTTCCTTACCCTTATCACGATCTGCTGGTGACTAAACGGAAGGGAACAGGGTTAAGAGCAGTAGCCACACCCACACTTCCCTCTCCGGGAGAGGAATGGGAAAAGGGGTTCGCCATTGTAATGAAAATATATGTACAGGAGATAACACGCACGTAAATTATTAGAATGAAAAACTTGTCATGGTAAATACCGTAAAATTCCGAAAATAAGTCCCTCCAAGTATAAGCCCCCAAACTCGTAACGCTAAAAAACCCTCTGTTAAATCGCCTCTCGAATATAAGCCTCCGAAGCCTGTACTTGGAATTGCCCTCAAATTGAAAATCAAGCAAAGCAAAAACTTGTACACTGACATATGAATTTTTGCATTTGCCAAAGAACTATTACGGGTGTCAAATGATTGCAGTCAAAAAGTCACAGTACATTGCTGTTTGTGTAGTCCACTCTTAACTCTCGGCTTGGATTTCCTCGTTGCATATGCACAAAGTACTTTCATGGCTGAGTTTTAGTAAGATCCACGTCCTCAGGGCAACAAGTTTTGAGACGTAAATTTCCTTTAAGCCCCTCCTAAGATAATCCCCTCAAGTGGGACTGAAAAATATGAACCCAGGAGCTTAATTTCGGAATTTTACGGTATGTTTTCTGTGTTGTCAACAGGGTATAATAATTGTTAGTTCTTATATTATGCAATTAGTATTACTTGTCAATATTTATCCTATAAATTATTTATGTAGTTACTTGCACAAATAAACGTTTAGTAGCCAACAAGCAGTAACGTCTTTGAAATCAAATGCTGTCAAGCCTTAAATTCTCTTCTGATAACCCGACGAAACGTGAGATATATGCATAACCGAAAACCTATTCCGTTTTCAAGAACACGGCAGTGCGGCGCTCTTTTGAGAATACAGATGTTAATAATGCTCCATTTTCAAGAACACGTAAGTGCTGCCCTCTTCTGAGTACATGTTTAAGAAAACGACATTAATGAAAAACGGCAGTGCGGCGCTCTTTTGAGTATAAAGATTTTAAAAAATATACCATCAAGAACACGGAAGTGCGGCGCTCATTTGAGACGCGAGGTTCTAAAAATACCCTATCATCTAGAAAACGGCAATGCGGTGCTCTTTTGAGTATACAGATGTAAAAACGGCAATGCGGCGCTCTTTTGAGTAAAAGGATATGAATATATGAATAAATTACCCGGCAGTGGGGTGTGGGCTCCCGCCCAAACTCCCCTCCCGGGAAGGGGGAGAGGGGGGTGTGGGCTCGGCCCCCCACACCCCAGGGGGAAAAGTTAAAGTGTTTATTCCTTAAGGAAAAACTTGTTTGATTTTTCTATCTATGTTACCAAACAAAACATTTATGCAAAGTCTTTTCCAGAAAAATCTTCCACTTAAGTCGCTAGCAGATGTTAAGTAAGGGTAGGAAAGGTCTCGATTTATAAACATAAACTGGTAAGATATTTGATAAGTTTTATTTGGTGGTTTTAATGGAGAAGAAGTCGTGATCACTTTTTTCATATTTACCATTTTTACTAAGACGATAATACACCTTTTTACCTCTAATATTTAGCCTAACCATTGTATCCAATTTGTCCTGGGACGAGATTACAGTCATCCCAAATAGAAATTGAAGACAAGGGCTATGCAAAAGTTTGGGGGGTAAACAAGGTGCATTATGGTTTTTGTGAAAATGATAAATTTAAAAAAAGTTTTCTTCTCCATCTACACCAACAAATTAAACTGCTCAAAAATCTTACTAGTCTAAATTGAGACCTTACTTACCCTTACTTACCTTCTGCTGGTGACTGCAGTAGCAGGTTTTTCTTGAAAAGTCTCCGCATAAATGTTTTGTATGGTAACATAGACAGAAAAATCAGACAAGTTTTTCCTTAAGGAATAAACTCTCTAACTTTTCTATTTACATTTATCAAATTAAACTTTCAATACTTCTTATATTTAAAATATGTTCTTGAGTAACACAACATGATTGTCCGCAAAATCCTCGAAAGGTTGCGGTAATTTAATGTTTTCTTTTATGGTTTTCGTTCTCTTTGTGGTGTATCTTCTTCAAGGTCAGGGCTCTTGAACTTCATTCAGAAATACATTCTGTCTGAAAGAAATGAAAATAGAAATGAGACGAACTTTGAGGTTAAGAGTTCTTTTAAACAATAAATATAGTTCCTTAGTTTTTATTTCTGAATCTGTGTGTGTAATAGGAAATACTTTGAGCTTGGTTTTAGGATATTACCCTGCTGTACTTTTGCTTACTGGCACATGTTTCTTTTCCAGTTTTTTTACAATTCAGGCTCTTTTCAGCTGCTTCTGAAAAGTCCATGAAAAGAAGATGTCAGCATCAGACTTTTGGTAGCATCACTAAGGTAAAACCATTGCAACCTACATTTCTACTTGGCAGATTTTTTGTTACAGGTAAACCTTTTCGAGCGTTCGTTTCCTTTCCGTATTGTAGATTTGATTTATTTCAACTGAAGAAAGTCCTCCTATAATGCGTCTATAGGCAAATGAGGTAGAGTAAAAACATGAAATAGGTTTTTGGGCGTTTTGGTTCTCAGTTAAGTTCACTTATGAGATATTATGTGAAACGTATAATACTGAAATTAACTGGAAAAATTGGAAAGATTGACGCGGAGACTTTGTGCCTTTGCATGTTATCACCATTCCCAAACTTTAAGGATTGTGAGTGTGGTAAGCAAAATTTATAGAGAAAGACGGATTTAATTATTTCGTTTAGTAAAGAGTAATTACGTAGGCCAAAATAAAGAAACGAAACCTTTGCTAATGCACTTTTCTCTAAGNTGTGAAACGTATAATACTGAAATTAACTGGAAAAATTGGAAAGATTGACGCGGAGACTTTGTGCCTTTGCATGTTATCACCATTCCCAAACTTTAAGGATTGTGAGTGTGGTAAGCAAAATTTATAGAGAAAGACGGATTTAATTATTTCGTTTAGTAAAGAGTAATTACGTAGGCCAAAATAAAGAAACGAAACCTTTGCTAATGCACTTTTCTCTAAGTATGAGCCTTGCATAAAATCGCCTGCGGATACTAGTAAAGATTTCACCACGCAATTAACAAAATCAGTTCCAAATCAGTTTAATTCAATGTTACTGGAAGATTACATTCTAAATCCATGTAACTTGCATGGTAAGCCTGAAAGAAAAAACAAAATGTTGGTAAAATATTTGCTTGTTTATTATATTATACATTTATTTATTTCGACAACTTAATTTTGAGGACATGAAAAAAAATAGCCTAGCGTAGAATAAGCTAGTAAGCAAAACGTATGGGAGATGAGCAAATGGCGAGTAAAACCCAAGAAACCCATTGAAATAAAACACTGATGAAATGATGGTTCGATTTTACTCAAAATTACGCTAATACTTCGATGGCCAAAATGGAAACGTATTGCCAACAAAGAAAAGAGTTCGAGAATTAATAATGTATGAGAATACTTTGTCCTTATTTCAGCTTAACTTTTGCTGTGGCAAAACGTGCTTTTCTCTTTAAAATATAAAAAAATATGGTTATTTCACTTTTTAAAACTAAGAATTTGAAATTTTATAAGTGATAATTTGTTTCACTCAAATGCATCGGGCGACAAACTTAATAGAACTCGAAAACGATTCAGTAAATCTTGGATGACCCAGAAATCGAAATTCATTGTTGCAAGTTAAATTTTTTGTTTTATATTTCCTGGTCTAACGTGTTGTATTGGATCCAAATTACGAATGTAAAATTTTTATAGTAACGGAATGAGTAGCGAGATCAGTTCAAATTCTTCTCTATTCTGGTATACAAACAAAAGAAATATAGAAAGAAATACATGTACCCATTGTGGCTAAGACTTTAATGAAATAGGCCATTTGCAGGATGGCGTCATTTACCACTACGACGAGAATCCTTTTCGTTTTTCTTTTCATATTTAAATTTGGTGATCCCAGCGAGATTTAAATGACAAAAGCCGTAATTTGTACAAGAAAGGAAAACCCTGAAGGATTTTTGTCGTAGTAGTAAGTGATGTCATCGTGCAAATGACCCATTCTTTTGCAAGAAAGCAGACGAAATCTTGAAAAACGCGTTACATTCTCCTGGGACGATTAATGCATTCATCATTATTTTTTTATAACTGAAATGCAAAGCGAAGACTTTGAAACGTTTTTGATAAATGAATTAACTTAAAGGGATAAGTGGAAATAAAAAAAAAGCACTCCTGACATTTTTGGAATATGAAAATTCTAACATATATGACGACTTCAAAATTTAAATATAGTGACCAAGAAATCGAAAGATTATGTTGAAAAGTGATCTAACCTTTTTATATCGATCGAATATACTAGTTGCCATGACCTGATTGGTTTTAAACTAAAGAATTTAGTGGTTTTCTGTCTTCAAACATTCTCGACTATAAAATTTCTTTTAACACAAGACAATTTAATAAAATGTGGAAAATGCATGTACGATACGATTCTAACTCTTCTCTGTGTCTAATATACGACAAAATGAGTGTAGAAAGTTTTAAATGTGCATCAATAAACCAAGCCTGCTGGAGATGGAAGCTTTAGTACGCAAAACACGTCAGTTCACTGAGAATAAGATTTTAATGAAATTCTTATTGAAGATAGCAGACGAAATGTCGAAAAAGAGTCCTTCTAATTCAGTGTTCCCACTCGATCTTAAGTCAATTTATACTGGGCTTTATTGGCCCCTTTAAAATATAACGCGAAAACCTTTATGATACAGCCACTGAATTTATTCAAAAAAGTACTCATCGGTTAAACAACAACAAAAACAACATAAGCTTTATTTGCATGACTATTTGAGTTACAGTATTGCAAAAGAAGTGTCATCAGTATGATTTGATAACAAATTATTAATTAAATCATTACATAATGAAACAAATTTCAACAAATGTGAATTTACAGGAAAATTCTGTGAATTTATTCATCAATTTAATTACCAATTCTGTGCAAGATAGCTGATCAAAATCGACAAAATTTTGTTGGATTTGATTGTAGAAGTTTTCCCTTGGGACTGAATACTTTGAACAATGCAAGAGAAAATGAAATTCGTCTTCAATTATACCAGCGTTACAAACAGGGCAGAATCTATCGTTGCGGGTTTCTTCCAGTTTAAATCATGAAATTGTGGTTACTTATATGAATTTTCATTAAGTCTTTCCTACTGGTTGAATTTCTAGTTAAGTCTAGATAACTTGAAATTTTGTACTCATGTTTACAAATGCTGTAAAATTGTAGTTTCGTAAAATGATGGATCTATTAAAAATTGAATAACGATGTAATGTGACCTTATTAGACGCCATGTTGTCAATTAATTTTATTTTCTGACCCCATATTTCACCGTTCTAGCCTCTAAAAATTGGTATTAAGTCAAAAAACTAAAATAGGAACGTGTCTAATGAAATCCTTAAGTTGGCAAACATTGAACAGAAAATCTTTAACAATAGCAATGACGTAACGATGAAGTGATATATGATAAAAGAACGAACTGAAAGTATCCGCCATCTTAGACTTGCCATTTTGAATTAATTAATCCTATTTCATTATGATTTTGCATTATTGAGAGAGTCATTGATAATATTAAATTTCATTTGTTTATAAAAGGGTATCTTGGGAAAAAAAAAACAATCTAGCTTGCTGCTACGAGTAAGATGTAGCCAAATTCTGAAAGAAGTAAACATTATTGTAAATTAAACTTGACACCTGTCATTTTGGTTCGTTTTAAACTCTTGTTTATCTCAAGTAACTGCCTAATAACCTGGGTTGCATTAACAGATAAAATAAATTTGATAACGCAATTTTTTTCAGGCTGTCAAACATTGTTTGCCCTGGCGATGTTGATGTTGAACACGTCAAGGAGACTTACCAATATTTCCAAAGTAGTTTTAGGAAAAGTAGCTAAGTTCAATTGGCGGTCATAACTTGAACAGTTTGAAGTTATTCAAGTTAAAGTTGAGCGGGGGCTCTAAAAGCCCTCCAAATTTGAAAAGGCGTAAATGTAGCCAAACTCAAGGCTAGAAAGCAACGCTTTTTCAAAAATTCTTTCACTTCCGATTTGTCCTAGCTGCATGTCAAACGTTTTGAGTTCTAGAAGAGTTTTTCAACCTAGAATAGTACATTATCCCACGGAACAAGATTCAAATGTTTGAGATGAAAAAGCGGGTTTTGGAAGAACAAACCAAGAAAGATATTTTCTGAGTAAAACTGGATAAACTGAAATTATTTTGAACGTTAACTTTCCAAATGTATTTTAGATAACTGTTATAAATTAAGCAAACAAAACGAGGTAAAATTAATGATTCCTATAGTATTTGTTCTTGTTTATAAGTTGGAGAAGTGCTTTCAACACATCAATAAAAAAGAAATACTTTCTTATCTTCAGAGGCAACTTATGTTAAAAAAAACTCACTTGAAGCACAAGAAAAATGTAGCTAGCGGTACTTTTTTATTGGTCCAGTTTGTGAATAAAGTGACCAAGAAATCTAAAGATTACGTTGAAAAGTTTGAACTTTTCTTGCTGGACCTAACATTTTATACACTGATCGAGTAGACTAGCTGCCATGACGTTATTAGTTTTAAATTAGAGAATTTAGTGCTTCTGCTTCTAAACAATCTCGACCATAAAATTTCTTCCCACATAAGAAGAGTAAACAAAATATGGAAAATACATGTACGATGCCCGATTCTGGAATTCTTCTCTGTGTCTAATATACAAAAAAGAAGAGTGTAGAAAGAAAGAAATGTGCATCAATGAACAAAGCCTGCTAGAGATAGAAGCTCTAGTAGGCAAAACACTTGTTCAGTGAGACTATAAGATTTTAATGA